AGGGGTTACAGAAAATTTAGAACAAGATCAGATAGGAGTGATAGAAGAAAGGATGAGGAGAAGGGTAGTGGATAGATCAAGGCAACTGGAGATGTCGATTGACATTACATTTGAATAGCTGGAGATTATAGCTCTCAGGGAAACAAGAATAGGGAAGGGAGTTCCACAGGCGAGGGGTGCGAGACATGAAGCTATTGGAGTAGAAAAGACGGCTACATTTAGGAGTTTCGATAGTGAAGGGGTGAGAGAGGGATGCCAGCCTCGTAGGGCGCATGAACTCATGAAGTCTGGGAACCAGCGAATGCAGCTATAAAAACGATTTCCTAAAATATGATCCAAGACTAAGCTGTATAAACCTCAACGTAACTAGCAGTTTCATGATATGAAGCAATCCTCAGTCGGTTCAGAAAATGAAAACGCAAGGAAAACGACAGAATCTAGTAAAGACTTAATCCACAGGAGTAAAACAATCTCTGTGAGAGAAAAATGGTCTAGAGGATTAAATTAATAGAGAATCGGGAGATGGCTTCAGTCAAAAGGAAACGGGTGAATAAATTCATCCGAGTTTTTCTCTGATTTCTTACCCCAGTGAAACTATCTTTTTAAATACTATTGTATTGGTCGGGGAAGGTTTGTTACTGCAACTTCTGTGACTACGTCACGGAGTTAAACATATAGGGTGTTACCCAAAGTGGACTTACTTTTTAAATGACAATAAATGCAGTGTTTCTTGGCTTGCAAACAAAATTAATAGTTAAAAATAAGAAATATTAATGTTTATTGACTTACACAAAGATTAACGGTTTGAATTAAATATTTAATAAAATTTAATTCATGTTTATAGATATTCAGGATGACGAAGTCAAAAAGTGAGGACATTTTTGCAACACCATATATATATATATATATATATATATATATATAATTATTAATTTAAAAATATGATTCCAACTCGCGACATAAGAAGTCTCATGTTTCAAAACAAGAGCCGAAAACTTCAATATAATTATTTGAATTAAATTGAGTTAAAATAAGCTCTGTTCCATCTTCAAGCGAAATTTTTTTGGAATAACGTATTTCTGAAATTTACGTGTTTTAATAATTGAAAATATATATAAATGGCCCCCAAATTTTTCTTTTCTTTCCCTGTGTTTATTTAGTTTGAATTTGAATTACCAAGTTACAGTTTCTAGATTTGACAATGATCCTATTTTGTATGGAAAAAAAAAAACTGAAATAACATTGACAAAACAAAATGGACTTACCGAATATACTGGCGTATCATGCGACTATTGAAGACATAATTTTGAAGCTAATTTTAAGGGGGTCGCATCATACGCGAGATACAAAATTAGCGTATTACCCCCCCCCAAAAAAAAATGAGGTGTCCTGGGTAAGACGATAAACTACGTCCAACTCTCATCAGGAGGTTTTGAGGAGCGTGTTCCCAGCTCCACCCTGATCCGGGGCCGTAGCACCTTTTAGGGTCCCAACTATGATCAAATAGTTAACCCCCAAACTGGGGTCAAAACACTATGAAACAGTCTTCCTTTGTAGATTAAAGAAAGAGTTCTCTTCGAAATTCCCTGGAGGTTAGCCTGATCGAAAAATAACATGATGAAGGCCGAAGGGCAAAACGGCGTAGTGATAATAACAGCAAATATGGGGACAATAATCCGCGTGTAAATTATATATATATATATATATATATATATATATATATATATATATATATATATATAATACTTATCGCAAAAATGAGATTTTCATGCCAGTAATACATTAATGAAGAAAAAAATATTACCAGCAATAAAAAAAATCTTGTCAGCATTAAATAAGCAATTGAGGTTGATATACCGTAAAACAAAACAAAACAAAACGAAGCAATCGGGGAAATGGAAAGACTCGCACCACAGAGGAGGGATCATGAAATAAGAAACAGAACGATAAATAAAAGGAAACTGTGGAGAACCATTATCGTCTATATCCTTAAGGAACATGACTCACTGACCAATTTTAGAAATAATCATTCTTTACTTTTGGTTGATATACTCAATACACTTCATTCGTGTAACGCAGATAATAAAAAAAAGAAAATAGACGTGCAAAATAATTCTTCGGTTGCGTCCTAATGTATGGCCTAAATGAAACAATTTCTTATCTTCACTTTCCGTCTTTGACAGCGTTCAAAAGCGTTTACACGGACGAGGAATGATTTCCAACGAACAGACACTTTTTCGCAGAAGAAACGTCGCAAACTTATCGCTACTCTGTTGCTATTTTCCTGGCAGATGTTCTGACGAACGACATTCATTAGTTCCCCCAGTTCAGACCTTTACAGCTGAAGCCTCTTTCTTCTCTATCGCTATTTCCATGGCAAACGTTCTGATGATCTACATTCATTAGTTCCACAAGTTCAGAACTTTACAGTTAAGCCACTTTCTCACTGTATCACTATTTGCATGACAAATCTTCAAATGAACTTTATTTATTAGTTCCACCAGTTCGGACCTTTACAGCTAAGCTTCTTTCTTTCTTCCCGCTATTTCCATGGCAAATGTTCTGATGGTCTACATTCATTAGTGCCACCAATTCAGACATTTACAGATAAGCTTCTTTCTACTCTATCGCTATTTCCATGGCAAATGTTCATATGGGTTACATTCATTTGTTCCACCAGTTCAGACCTTTACGGACAAGTATCTTTCTATTCTATCGCTATTTCCATGACAAATGTTTTGACGAGCAACATTCATTTGTTCCACCAGTTCATACCTTTACAGCCAAGTCTTTTTCTACTATATCGCTATTTCCATGGCAAATGTTTAAATTGTTTCATTCCCTAGTTCCACTAGTTCAGATGTTTACAGCCAAGCTTCTTTCTCCTGTATCGCTATTTCCATGGCAAATGTTCTGACGAGCAACATTCACTAGTTCCACCAGTTCAGACATTTACAAGCAAGCCTCTTTCGACTCTATCGCTATTTCTATGGCAAATGTTCATATAGATTACGTTCTCTAGTTCCACCAGTTCAGACCTTTACATCTAAGCTTCTTTCTACTCTATCGCTATTTCTATGGCAAATGTTCAAATGGATTACGTTCTCTAGTTCCACCAGTTCAGACCTTTACATCTAAGCCTCTTTCTACTCTATCGCTATTTCCATGGCAAATGTTCAAATGGATTACGCTCTCTAGTTCCACCAGTTCAGACCTTTACATCCAAGCCTCTTTCTACTCTATCGCTATTTCTATGGCAAATGTTCATATGGGTTACATTCCCTAGTTCCACCAGTTCAAAAGTTTACAGCCAAGCCTCTTTCTATTGTAGCGCTATTTCCATGGCAAATGTTTTGACGAGCAACATTCTCAAGTCCACTAGTTCTTATCTTTACAGCTAAACCTCTTTCTACTCGATCATTATTTCTACGGGAAAATGTTCTGATGATTTACATCCATTAGTTCCCCTCTTTCAGACCTTTATAACCTTAACCAAAGTCTACCAAGCATATTTTCGGTATGAACAACAACTTGGCTCTATGGGTTTTCATGAAACACAAATGGTCGTGGGCAGATGGACATGTTCGGTAATGAGCAGCGATGCTGAAGGTGAGAATTCCCACTGATTTGCAATGTGTCTACAATTCGAAACAGCGCTGTGATGATAATGAGCAAAACCTTTAATCCTAAACCAGTACAAAAAAAAGTCGAATCAAAGGTAGATGGGTTATCACAGCCATAACAACGTCAAAGAAACGAAATGCACTGTGATAATCTCAAGTTACAAGCAGAATCAAATTCGGTAATAAATCAATTCGCGTGAAGAAAAATTGCCAGAAGAAATTAGCGGTTGAAATGTTGTAACCAAACAAAAAAAATATGGATAACGCAAAAGTGAAACATTCCAATATGAAAACAATTGATCGCTCATTTTTGCGATAAGTATATATATATATATATATATATATATATATATATATATATATATATATATATATATTATACCATATTGTATTATATTATAATTAAAAAAATATAAAAATAAATTTTAAAACTCTCCCTTCCCTCTCTAAACTCGACCATGTCTCTCACACCATCCCTCGCCACCTTCTATGTCAACTTATATAAGCTTAATACTGCCCGTCAAAGGGGTAAATTTTAAATTCATTTTCCGTTTCACCTTTTGAAAGTGAAGTCTGAAGATCCAGAGAAAAATAAAATTCTCTGGTGAAATAAATTATTACAAATGGACCCTTAAAGTGGTCTGTTTTTTTTTTTTAAATTAAATTCGCTCTGACTTAACATTGAGATCTCAGGATTTCACCCTCCTTGGTATTATCCAAACGGATTACCAAGAATTTTTTTACTTAATTCAATATATATATATATATATATATATATATATATATATATATTATTTACACGCGGATTTGCTGTTATTATCGCTACGTCGGTTTGCCCTCCGGTTTTCATCAGGTTATTTTTCGACCAGGGTAACCTCCAGGGAATTTCGAAGAGAACCCTTTATTTAATCTACGAAGGAAAACTGTTCTCGTTTCTCTGCGCATATTTAAGTGCATCTTGTATAGTTCTTATTTTTTCACTATTCAGATATTTCTCGCCATGTTTCAATTAAGTTCAAGGTCCAGGGCTTGTTCTTACAATTACTATGTCACAAAATTAACGAATCAACGTTTTAATCGTACCGTAGGACAATTGTCTGTGGAGAATTTGAAGTCTTAAACCTAACCTGCCTGCTGATGAGTGTTTGTCATATGTGTCTGCACTTAATGTTAGTTTGGTTTTCTTTAGACCATTAATATTAACATAAACATATGAGATATGTATTAGGTTCGGTCAGAAGTAATTTCCGCTTTGGGGAACCAATAGTAATGACAAATGGGTCACTCTCTACTGGCCGTTCCTTAAAAATATCATAACAGGCGATGATAAGTGGGATTCATTTGACAATGTTTACCGCAAACGGCATCGAAATGAAGTTAAATAAAAGAAATGAGATAGAGAAAAGAAGAAGAAGGGGAGGAGAAGGGAAAGAAGTAGAAGAAGGAGGAGGAAGAGGAGCAGATGAAGAAGAAGAAGGGGAGGGGAGAAGAAGTAGTAGAAGAAGAAGGAGGGGGAGGAGCAGAAGAAGAAGTAGAAAAAGAAAGAGGAGGAGGAGAAGAAGAAGAAGAAAAAGAAAGAGGAAGAAAAGGGAGGAGAAGAAGAAGAAGAAGGGGAGGAAGAGGAGGGGAAAAGAAGAAGGAGGAGGAGGAGGGAAGAAGAAGTAGAAGAAGAAGGAAGAAGAAGAGAAAGAAGAAGAAAAGAAGAAGGAAGGAGGAGGAAAGGGGAGAAAGGAAAGAAGAAGGAGGAAGAGGAGCAGAAGAAAAAGAAGAAGGGGAGGAGGAGGAGGGGAAGAAATAGTAGAAGGAGGAGGAGGAGCAGAAGAAGAAGTAGAAAAAGAAGAAGAAAAAGGATGAGGAGAAGAAGAAGAAGGGGAGAGGAAGAAAAGGGGAGGAGGAGGGAAAGAAGTAGAAGAAGAAGTAGGAAGAGGAGCAGAAGAAAAAGAAGAATGGGAGGAGAAGTAGTAGAAGAAGTAGGAGGGGAGGAGCAGAAGAAGAAGTAGACGAAGAAGGGGAAAAGAAGAAAAGGGGAGGAGGAGGGAAAAAGTAGGAGGAGGAGGAGCAGAAGAAGAAGAAGAAGAAGAAGAAGAAAGAAGATGAGGAGAAGAAGAAGAAGTAGAAGAAGAAGAAGAAGCAGAAGAAGGGAAAGGAGGAGAAGAGGGAAAGTAGGAGGAGGAGGAGGAGGAAAAGAAGAAGTATTTTTTTCTGAATTTCTGTGATAAGGAGCTACCATTATTTCCACTATTTACATTCAGACAATTGTCCTCATTTTTTATTGTTATCACAACGTTTCGACCGTTTTGATCTCCGGCATTCATCAGGTGAATATTGATGAGATTCGAACTGAATCCTTTATTTAATCTGTTAAACTGTTTCCGTTACACTACCCAGGTCTAAGGATTTCTTATTTTCATACTGCTCGATTATTACCCGCCCTGATCTCACTGAGTCCAAGTACACGCTGCCCGGCCCCACTAATTGAACTCTCAATACCTATTTCATCAAATTCAGAAACCAACGCTTTAATCCAGTAGGCTATAGTCCCTGAAGGTACCCGGATCGATACACACCTGATGAAGGCCTGATGGTACAACGGTCGAAACGTTGTGATAAAAAAAAATGTTTGGTACAATTATTCGTGCGTAAACAACGTAAATAATGATACTTCTTCGTCCCCCACACACGTCCAAAAAAAACGGAATGCATTAAAACAGTCGGTAAAATTAGCATCAGTATTTATATGATTGTAAGGAATCTTGAAATTAAATTCACCATTTTGGTGGGGTGGGGAGGCGGGGTGTCCTCTTGGGAAAACAGTGTCCCCTGAGAAGTGTCGGCAAACGCATTTATTTAATTAACAAGAGACGACAGAGTTTAGCCGGCAGAAAGTAGGATCGAAACGGACATTTACTTTTTTCCAATATTTTTGTGCGAGAGGTCAGATTCAAAGGTAGCTAAAGATCATTCAAAGTCATATCCCTTACGGGGTTGATCGTTTCCGGAGAAAAAGAGAGGGAGAGTGACAAAGAGAGAGAGAGAGAGAGAGAAGCTAAAGGTTACTCTTCAAGGAGAGAAAACTGTCTCGGAATATTTTGTTTCAATGAATAGTAGACGAAGTCAGATTAAGGAACTGAGAGAATGATACTTAGTTGGCTGGCCTGGGGTTATGTCGAAGCAAACGAGGATAAAAGAAACGCCAACGTTACTGTTCATTGATGACATTCTTGACACTAGTAAAGGTCTTAACCAAATATCTTTAACGTCATATGCATCATTCCCAGAAAGAGCAGCTGAAATCTGTGAAACTGCCTTACAGAGATCTAATAAATATTAATCTGTGAAACTGCCTTACAGAGATCTAATAAATATTAATCTGTGAAACTGCCTTACAGAGATCTAATAAATATTAATCTGTGAAACTGCCTTACAGAGATCTAATAAATATTAATCTGTGAAACTGCCTTACAGAGATCTAATAAAGCTGGTGAAGGAAATACTTTGCAAAAAAATAAAATAAAAAGGAATGACTTTTTATTTTTAACGTCCCCCTATTAATCATATGAGTCCCCTCTCAGGCTTCCATCAAAATGGCTGACACTACGTTCCAGGAGATTGACACATTGCGTCATCTCGCGCTAATGTTCTCTATTGGCATGAATCTAGTGTTATTAACTGAAGCAAACGATGGTTTGTTAATTTTAACGCACCCAAAACTAAACTGCTCTCCATTAATCGTCTGGGAGACCACTCTCTGCCTTACATAAGCATGGCTGATGCTAACCTCCAAGAGAGTTACTCGTTTCGCCTTCACGCGCTAACGTTCTCTTTTTACATGAATCTACTGTTGTTAAATGGAGCAAATGATGGCTTGTCAATTTTAACGCCTCCCAAACTAAACTTCTCTCCATAAATCATCTGAGAGATCCCTCTCTGCTTTATATCAGTTTGGCTGATGCTAACCCATAGAAGAGTGAGTCGTTGCACCTTCAGGGACTAATATGAATTGATATTGAATCAATTGTTAGGTCTGCTGCTCGGAAAGTTGGTTCACTGAGTCGTGCTAGAAAAATTTTCTCTCCAGAATCTGTCTTACATATTCGTTCCAATATTGCTTCCACATATGATCCGACGCTCCTGTCATATATGTAGTGATTGTTCATAAAATCCAAAGAAGAATCTGCAGTGTTATTGGTCCTGACCTGGCATCTCGCCTTCAGTCACTTCCCCATCGTCGTAATATAGCTTCCATGATTCTTTTCTGTAAATACTTCCAGGTTAATTGTTCTGATGGACTTTGTCCTGTGTTACTTCAATCACCGAAGTTAACCGTCTATACCTAGATGGGGGGGGGCGTGGTAATACCAGGTGCTTTAAGATTGGATGTGTGGGTGGTTTAATGGATCAGATTTTTTTAATTAGAGAGCCGAGTTCCAAGTCCAGTTTGTATCGTTATATTCACTTAGGCGCCTTTGGAAAGGTGTGAATCCAAATCATTGCCCCCAGCTATGGATTAATTAGTTTGACTTTTATCATAAAACAGTTATTATCTCCAAAAAGTCTTACACTCTAAAAATATTCTCTGGCTTTAAATAACCTGCAAAAGGCTGATAAGTCTTAGAAAACGACTCAGTCAATCAACGAAGAATAAGGAGGAGGAGGAGAAGGAGTAGGAGGATTAGGAAAAGAAGAAGTAAGAGTAGGGGGAGTATGAGAAGAAGAAGTAGGAGTAGGAGGAGTAGGAGGAAAGAAATAGGAGTAAGAGGAGGAGAATGAGTAGGAGAAGAAGTAGGAGGAGGAGGAGAAGAAGGAGGAGTAGGGGGAGGCGAAGAGAAAGAAGGAGGAGGAGGAGGAGAAGAAGACGTGTTCGAATACAAACGGGGGATTAAATTATTTTATTTTATTGTTTAGAAATAAGGTAACTTTATGTTAAACATTTTAAGCGTTTCATATAACAGTGTCTCAAAATGAAGAACAAAATTAACACCATAACGACAACGACGGTTACGACAAAGCCTGTCTCAAGACATAGTTGAAGCAAGATGATCAATTATGACGACAAATGTATCGGTGTACCTCGCAAAAAAGGCTACTATCATAACCACCATTAATCCGAACGCCCAGTCGAACTAAATTTGTTTACGATCAAGATTCCCGTCGGCCATTAGAGTCGTACAGGCACTACTTATGTTTCCTGTGCAAAATAGCCTGATGGAACCCAACCTTCCACAGGCAGGTTTGATTTCAGAGTTTTCTCCTACACTAGCTTTGCGCATAGGCGTTACCAGAGGCAATGAGGAGTTTCCGAGGCGTGGACTCCTCTTCAACCAAGGCTATTGAACGCAGTCTGTTCTGCTATTTTACCCATAGCTGGGGTAGAAGAAATGGTTTCTGAACTTTTAGAAAGTCACTGGAGCAAATAAGTACATAAAAGAATCTGTAAGTATTCGAATTTGCCTTGCCGGGACATATGATATGGATTACCAATAAGAGTTTTAATAATGATCAGTTGCGATCATTGGCTGTCATTATTATTATAAGCAAATATTTGTAAAATCTGGGAAAGAAGTAAAAAAAACGAATTAATAAAAGTTCGAAATAGCGTATCATTGAGGAAATGATACGCTTTAAAAGATTTCTAACAAGCAGAAGAAAGAAGAATGAATCATTTCTATGCCCAAGTGTTCGATATTTGAAAATAATTCATCTAAGCCTGACATATGGCGCAAGATGATACATGAAACCTTACCTCTCTCTCATTCTCTCTCTTTTTTATCTGTTTTCCCTCTCTTCCTTCTCTATTTCTTCCTCACTCTATTTTTCTCATTCTCTGTCTCTGCCTCTCTCTCTCTCTCTTACTCTCTTCATCACCCCTGCCTCTTCCACTCTTTATTTCTCTGTCTCTCTCTCTCTCTCTCTCTCTCTCTCTCTCAAACACACACACACTTTGTCATTCTATTTCTCTTTATTTTTCTCATCCTTGACCCTATCGCTTCCGGTTTTTCTTTCTCTCGCTTCCTATTTCCTTCTCTCTCTCTCTCTCTCTCTCTCTCTCTCTCTCTCACTATCACTTTTTCCTTCTTTCTCACTCTTATCTCGCCCTTTCCCGTCACATTAACCTCTCCTTTACTCTCTCTCTTTTTCTGTCTTCCCTCTCTCTATCCTCATCTCTATGGCTTTCTTTATCTCTCTCCTTTACTCTCTCGCTCTCTTTTTCCCTCTTCCTCCTCTCTTCCCTTTCTCGCTCCTCTCTCTATCCTCATCTCTATCGTTTTCTTTATCTCTCTCCTTTACTCTCTCTCTCTTTCTTTTTCCCTCTTCCTTCTCTCTTCCCTTTCTCGACCCTCTTTCTATTCTCATTTCTATCGCATTCTTTATCTCTCTCCTTTACTCTCTCTCTCTTTCTCTCTTCCTTCTCTCTTTCCTTTCTCGCCCCTCTCTCTATCCTCATTTCTATCGCTTTCTTTATCTCTCTCCTTTTCTCTCTCTCTCTTTTTCCCTCTTCCTTCTCTCTTCCCTTTTTCGCCCCTCTCTCTTGCCCATCTCTATCGCTTTCTTTATTTCCCCCCTTTACCTTGTCTCTCTCTTTTTCTGTCTTCCTTCTCTCTTTCCCTTTCTCGCTCCCACATCTTCTCTCTCGCTTCCTCTCTTTCACCATGTTTCTCTCTCTCTCTCTCTCTCTTCTCTTACTTTTTCTTTTTCTCTCTCCTCCGCCTTTTCTCGTCGCAGATTTGGCAAAGCGCTGTACGTTTATGGCCTTAATCAATTCGAGTTGAATATTTGTCAGTGGGGTCTGCCAGCAAGATACACTTGGCACAAAATTATGCGATGCTCAACACTATTTAATCTAAAAATCATGTTCAATATCACTTGAACATCGATTCTTTTTGACGCAGAAACATTCATATTAAAGTTTTGTTTTGGAAGGTGTTGGGTTGCACTGGGGGGGGAGAGTTAAATGTGTTCTCAGGGTGGTAATACGTGATGTGGGTCTTGTTTACAGACATTCGGATGATTACAGCCTGAAACACAGATTGCGAAAGATAAGAAAGAAATGAATTCATACAGAAGATTAAGCACAGACAGGCAAATGGGGGGAGGGGAGGGGGAGGGAGGGGGAGGAAAATCACATACCCAACTGTCACGTGTATGACAAGTCAAGTGTGTATTAATAATTATTGTGATGTAAATCCGTGATAGAAATAAGAGTAAAATTTACGGGTGGCTACATGTTTATATTCTGCACTTGGATTCAATTAGAAAAAGAAAGAGACGGGCGCAGTGATATGGCAATATTTAAATTGATTGAGATAGATAGATAGATAGATAGATAGATAGATAGATAGATAGATAGATAGATAGGGAGTAGTAGATATATGAGTAGACTCAGATAGATAGATGAGTAGACTCAGATAGATAGATAGATAGATAGATAGATAGATAGATAGATAGATATGATTAGGGTTAGATAGATAGATAGATAGATAGATAGATAGATAGATAGATAGATAGATGAGGAGTAGTAGATATATGAGTAGACTCAGATAGATAGATAGATGAGTAGACTCAGATAGATAGATAGATAGATAGATAGATAGATAGATATGATTAGGGTTAGATAGATAGATAGATAGTTAGATAGATAGATAGATAGATAGATAGATAGATAGATAGATAGATAGATAGATAGGGAGTAGTAGATATATGAGTAGACTCAGATAGATAGATAGATAGATGAGTAGACTCAGATAGATAGATAGATAGATAGATAGATAGATATGATTAGGGTTAGATAGATAGATAGATAGATAGATAGATAGATAGATAGATAGATAGATAGATAGGGAGTAGTAGATATATGAGTAGACTCAGATAGATAGATAGATAGATAGATAGATAGATAGATAAGTAGACTCAGATAGATAGATAGATAGATAGATAGATAGATAGATAGATAATGAACAGACTGAGATAAACATATGTAGAGAGAGATACGTGTAGACTGAGATAAATAGGTAGGTAGATAAAGATACGTGTAGACTGAGATAGATAGATAGATAGATAGATAGATAGATAGATAGATAGATAGATATTCCATGCACATCACGAAATATATACAGACATACTTCTCTGTTTCTTCCTAGATACACAAAAAGCTGTTTTATGTGCCATTTCACTCCAGGTGGAGGTGATCAGGACTCACCAAAACTCTGTCGCTAAGACAT